TCCAGCGGTGGCGACGAGGGCCTCCCATGAGACCCAGAAAAGCGAAAACGATGAAAAGGTAGTGGTATCGGTACTAACAGGGCATGTGTCGACCCCTATCCCAGACATCGTGGGGTTTCCTAATGAAGCAGAAATTTGAGCCCCAACGGGGGGCGTTCATCCTCGATAGTGGTGCGTCCGAATAGCCCCCTTGGGGTGTATCCCAGGGTTTCCTTGTTTTCTGAGCGGCCAAACTTTTCCGGCGAAACTCGGGGATTGGGGGAGAAAAGTCACCTGCGAGGCACCTTTTCATCTTCTGAGAAGCGGGCTCTCTCCCGACTCAGGCAAAGCAGGCCCCCGCCAGGACTACGCGCCTGGCCAGTCGCCGGCCCTCCCTGAGGGAGGTGCCAGTCGCCCGCACGCGGCCGGACGAGCACTGCGGAGGGTGGCGTGACCGCGGAGGAGGAGGAGGAGGGGAAGGAGGAGGAGGAGAAGGAGGGGAAGGTGGAGGAGGAGGAGGAGGAGGAATAGGACGCAGAGGAGAAGGAGGATGAGAAGGACGAGGAGGAGGAGAAGGTGGAGAATGAGGAGGAGAGGTATGATGCAGCGAAGGAGGAGGAAAACCATTGTAAACCCAACAGTCATCAACGATGTTGGACTTAACCCTCCCTCCAAGCTGCCTCTTCATGGGCCGCATACACCAGTTCAAGGAATTGCCTCGTTGGAAGACAACTGTTTGAAGACCCTGAAGCATGCCAAAACGCGAATCAACATAACTGTTGCACCTGCAACCCACATACTCCCGAATCCTTCCAAAAGACCATGTCTGGTGCGTTGATCATGGGAATCCGTGAAACTCTTACACATTGAAACAAGGATTGTGCGTGGCGCAAACGCGAGAGCCACATTTGAACATAAACCGCCATAAATCCGTGAAACTCTTGCACATGGTTAAAACGAATGCGCGCGGCGCTAAAACGAGAACCACATTTTGCAAACGGCCCGCCCTTCATCCGTGAAATTCGTCCACTTGGCTAAATGAATGTGCGCGGCGCTAAGGCGAGCACCACATTTTGAAAAGGAACCGCCCTCAATCCGTGAAACTCTTGCAAATTAAACAAACGAGTGTGCGCGGCGCTAAGGCGAGAGCCACATTTTGAGAAGAAGCCGCCCTCAATCCGTGAAGCTCTTGCAAACAAAAAACGAATATGCGCGGCGCTAAAGCGAGAACCACGTTTTGAAAACCACCCGCCCTCAACCCGTGAAACTTTTGAACATGTTTAAAACGAAAATGTGCGGCGCTAAGACGAGAGCCACATTTTGAAAACGACCCGCCCTCCATCTGCGAAGCTGTTGCCACTTTTTAGGCTTCAGAATCATACATAGTGAGGAACTCTCAAGCGCATTGCCCGCCTCGCCCTTAAACACTGGCCTCGGGGTGCGATCGGAGAAATTGTATACAAGGGAATGGAAGAGGAGGAGAAAGAGTAGGAAGAGGGTGGTGAGCAGGCCAAAAGCAGAAACAGCGGGACAAAAAGAACTCTGGTCCGAGATGGCATACGCCGCTTTTCCTCTGTTGCTGCTCCTCATCCTGCTGTTGCTGCTGCCCTCCGCCGCGTGTTCCCGTTCGCATCGGTCCGTGCAAATCGGCCCGATTTATCCGGTAACCTTCTGCGGAGGAGGAGGCGAAGGAGGCCCAGGAGGTGACGACAGCCTGCCTGGTGGCCAACGGCGACGAAGACAACAACGACCACGACGGCCCAATGACCGTCTCAGGGGCGCCGTTCGGGCCAGAATGTTGGTAAAGATCCAGGCATTGCGACGGTGCCAACCCGCAGGCCCAAAAAGACTCAAATACGTCCGAAAACATCCAACCTCGAATCTCGATGTTCGACCCTCGGCGACGACGGCGACGACCGCAAGATCTGTCGCGTGGGGGCCAGGATTTCGAGACAAATCCAGACGTGAGGGCGATGGCGCACACGGAGGTCCAGAAAGGCAGAATCGCACCAGCACGGAGGCCCTAAGAGGCAACGCTGCCTGAGGCACACGGGGTATGACAACGAAGTGCTGCACAGGGACGGTAAAGCACGGGGGCACAGCACGGCCCGCGCAGGGTTTGCGGCCGGAAACTGCTTCGCGCGTGGAAGCCAAGCGCGGCACGGCACGCTGGCGGCACCAGTCTGGCATTCCAGACACCCGGCGCGGCACGGCACGGCACGCGGGCACGCCACGCTGCGAAACGGCACGTCGCGGCATGAGGGCACGCCACGGCGCCGCCCAGTACGAGGGCGGCACCGTTCTCGCTGCCCGAGAACCAGGCACGGCCCGACAGGCCATGCGGGCAGCATCTCTCCTCCCAATCCGGACGGGGCTCGCGAGTCCGGCACAGCACCGCACACGAGCACGGCACGGCAGGCGGGCGCCGCCCTGCTCGCACTCCAGGAAGCCGGGCACGCCGCGGGACGGCACGCACCGCGCGCGGACCATGGCACGGCACGGCAGGCGGGCGGGACGGCGGGACCCTCCCTCGCATCCCGGAAGCGAGGCACGGTGCGGCACGCGGGCACGGCACGGGGCCTCACGGCTTCCAGAGAGCAGGCGCGGCAGGGCACGCGGGCGCCACCTTTCTCGCAAGGCGGATGCTGAACTCGCCCCTTCTATCCCGTAGACAACATTAGCTGTCCATGGGCATACAAAACGAACCACCACACATGGATCCACGACGGCGACGGCGATCGGAACGGACCCCGAGAAGCGCTCAAAATTGATCCGCGTGACCCTCCCAGGGGTCCATCCCAGTCCGTTCTGCGAACCAGCTCTATGATGTTCCACCCTGCTTTAGCGTCGATCACCAGGGAGTATCTCCAGAACCAGGAAGGTACCAAAACTTACGGCGATTGTCGTTTGACACTTCGCCAGCGTGTTGTGTAAACGCTGTTTGGATACCGTTCTGGGTGCTCAAATTTACTTCTGGGACGCGTTCCTCAAGTACGATGGGAGCAGCATAATCCCAGATCGCCATCCAACGGTCCCGGGACCCACAACGGGCCCCCGAAGGCCGAAACCGACGAGAAGCGGCGGCCACGACACTTCCGACGACGACGGACCCCCCCCCTCCTGGGGCCCCTTCCGGTCGGCTCCGTGCCCCAGATCGCCGTCCAGCGGTCCTGGGGCCCGGAGCGGGCCCCCGAAGGCCGACGTCAACGAGAGAACCGCCCCGTCGCGACACCTCCGACGACGACGGCGGCAGGCGGCCAGAGGCGCATCACCAGCCCAGGGCGTCCCCGGCCCAAGGCCGCCCGCGGCCTCCCGAGCAGCCCCGCGGAGCACCCGAGAGGGCCCCATGGGCGCCCCAGGGCGCTGCGAACATCCGCGAGCGCCTCGAGGTCGGTCCGCGTCGAATCGGGAGAAATCGGATGGGGTCGAAACGAGAACCGCATGGGGATCCATCGGCACGGAGTCGAGACCAAATCGAATCGGGTGCGCCATGGTGCACAGCAACGCATTGCAAGCGTCAGGCCGAATCCGATCGTCAGGACGTCGGGATCGGATCGGGCCAGGCCGACCAGAATTGGTATCGAGCCAGATGGATCGGTTCGAAATGGACCCTGAAACGTGGCCACAACAACGCAGGTCAAGATCACGAGACCCTTCAGAGATCCAAGGTTCAATAGAGATACCCCGCAAACAAAAGGCATTCCGAGGTGGAGAGCTCAGACACGAAGAAGACGAGGTTGCCCCTGGGCCAGGCTTGTTTTTCACCCCCGTGCCACCTGCAACTAGCCTCGAGATTCCACAGAATTCGACACCGTGGTTTGGTTCACAACGTGGCTCCCGAGAGGCCTGGACACATTCCCAGAGGCTGGCGTTCCATCCGGAGTCATTTTATTGACAGTCCCGAGGCCTGGAAAGGCTCAGGGGATGCGAAGAGAGCCAACTGCCTCCCGTCGTGATCACTGCGCGACAAGAGGATGTCAGCATGCTCCTTGCTCAGCGGCTGTTGTTTTCGGTGGGAAGACATCGAGGAATAGCAGACTACGTTAGCATAATCGTTCGAGGCTCCACGCGGACTTTGGGGATCTACTCCGAACCCGCCCTCCCTGGCGCACGGAGCGAGCCAGGGGCGGCGCATGAGGCGAAGGTAGGCACGGCGCCGATCCAAGAAATCCACGCGGAGCTCCTGAAGTCTATGCGTATGCAATGCTCAGAAGCCTCCCAGATGGGGACCAATCAGACCGGGTCGGAAGATCGCGCCGCATCGCCGATGCATCGCCAGTGCATCGGTGATGCATCGGCGACGTCGGCCATGCATCGGCGATGTTGGCGCGATAAGATCGGGCTCCACATCGAGCCACATCGCCGATGCATCGGCGACACGGTGCGACCCTCCGTCCCCACCCACTCTGACCCTCTCTGGGAGGCCGAATACTGTTCTTTAGCATTGGAAGAAACGCGCTAGGCCCCCCTCTCTGGCGCGCGGAGTAAGGCCCCGTAAACCCGGACACGATAGGCCCGGACACCCAACATCCCTCGAAACCAATTTTTCCAGACGGCGGCACGAACAAAATACGGCACTGCAACATTTCCATAATAAACCCGCACACAAGCCCTGTAAGCCTGCACGACCCCCAAATGAAACCCAGACACAAGCCCGAATCCTGCAGTGCAGCAAACAAAAAATGCACGGGTGCTGGAAAATAGGACTTTGCAGGAAAGGGTGCCGTTTCATTGGTTTTCCGTGTCCTGGTCTCTGGGGGCCTGATGGAGCGCGCCAGGGGCGGCGCCGGAGGCGCCGCCAGGGGGAACCCAGCGCGGATCCGAGAAATCCGCACGGAGCGCCAAAAGTTTATAGTTATGCAGTTTTTCCTCTTCGATTCTTGCATTGCCATCCTGGTCGTGGTCCCCGTGCTTCTTCCCTCGTCGAAAGTTTTCCCTCTTCGGAGACAGACCCTGGCAGCACCCCAACGACGACGACCACGGCTCGCAGCCACCAGCGCTGGGGCTGCGGCGGCTGGGGCCTGCGGGGCCGCGCCCTCCCCGGCGTCTCTGGCCTCGGGGGCTCCGCGGGTCGTCGCCGTCGCCGTCGCCCGGGAGGCGCCACGGGACGGGTCCGAGCGTCGCCGTTGGAGGCATCCACCGAGACCCCCTCGCCTATCGGGCTGGGCGAAAGGGGGGGATAGCAAAGGGGGGTTTTGAGAATCAGCTCACGTAGCTGATTTTCCCGGCGCCTCCCAGCGCCGGAGGCGGCCATGGATCGAGGAAGAGGCCCCTCGGTGGGGCCGAAACCAGCTACATGCAGCAAAATTCGTGACCCCCCCTTTCCCTATCCCCCCTTTCGTCCGGCCCGAGCCTTGCGAAAAAATTGCAACGGGAGGCTGTTCGCCATCTTCGGCCTCTGGAGGCCCTTGCCAGTCCCCGGGATCGTCAAGAAACGACTCAGGATGAAAAACCGGTTCCGGGGAAAGGGTCCAGACCTCTTGGGGTCGACGATGCGAAGTCAGCCTTGCAAAGGGCCCAACCATGAGCAGCTGTGAGCACCGCAGTCGTGAGTATCATCTTCGATGGAGCACCTTATGATGGCACGAAACGTGTGAGGGGTGTCCCGAAATAGGCGTGGCGGACGCATGTGGACGGTGCCACTGGGGACTTCGGTAGAGCTCCCCATGGGGCCACGAAACGTGTGAGGGGTGTGCCGACGTGAATCTAGTGGTCGCATGTGAACGGTGCCACTGGGGCCTTTCGGGGGGCTCCCTGTGGGGCCACGAAACGTGTGAGGGGTGTGCCGACAGCGGCCGCATGTGGACGGTGCCACTGATGCCTTCGGTGGAGCTCCCTGCGGGGACACGAAGCGTGTGAGGAGTGTCCAGAAAATGGGTGTGGCGGACGCATGTGGACGGTGCCACTGAGGCCTTCGGTGGAGCTCCCTATGGGGCCACGAAGCGTGTGAGGGGTGTGCCGAAAAGGATGTGGCGGACGCATGTGGACACTGCCACTGATGCCTTCGGTGGAGCTCCCTGCGGGGACACGAAGCGTGTGAGGAGTGTCCCGAAAATGGGTGTGGCGGACGCATGTGGACACTGCCACTGATGCCTTCGGTGGAGCTCCCTATGGGGCCACGAAGCGTGTGAGGGGTGTGCCGAAAAGGATGTGGCGGACGCATGTGGACACTGCCACTGGGGCCTTCGGTGGAGCTCCCTGTGCGGCCACGAAATGTTTTAAGTGTGTCCCGAAATTGGTGTGGCGGACGCATGTGGACCGTGCCATGGGGGCCTTGGATGGGGCTCCCTATGGGGCCACGAAACGTTTGAAGGGTGTCCCGAAAATGGGTGTGGCAGACGCATGTGGACGGTGCCACTGAGGCCTTGGGTGGAGCTCCTTATGGGGCCACGAAGCGTGTGAGGGGCGTACGGAAATTGGTGTGGCGGACGTACGTGGACGATGCCACTGGGGCCTTCGGTGGAGCTCGCTATGGGGCCACGAAACGTGTGAGGGGTGTGCCGAAACAAGTATGGCGGACGCATGTGGACGGTGCCATTGGGTCCTTCGGTGAAGCTCCCTGTGAGCCACGAAACGTGTGAATGCAAGGTGGCCACCGTGGGATAAGAAACTTCCGTGGGCACCTGCTGGACGGCTGGTTTCGTATCTGGTGCATCAGCTGCACGATGACAATGGGAATTAACAAACTGACGACCCTCCAAAAGTAGATTACAGTAGGGGCTCGACCACAAGAAATCTTCCACAAGATCCCCAACCCTGGAGACTCAGGACGTCCATTGATTTGTTGGCGTGGGAACGTCACGCATTCCATAGCAAAGTCATCGAAACCCAAGAAACCCAGGGCACCCTGGAGGCAAGCAGGGTGTTTCTTGTCATGGGCTTCCACTGTACATCAGTTTACGCACCTGAGCTCACAGGAAAGCCGCCGACCCCCGCTTGCTGGGGTTGGAAATGTGTGTGAGACATCTGGCAGCCCCCCTTCCCCACTTTCCCTCCACCAGGGGTCCAAAATCGCATCAGCAACGCACCCCGAGGGTCTCCAGAGCCTCCAAATCTACACTCCGTGGCCTCTAAGATGCCGAGATGCCATCAAAACTGGCTCAAGCAGGGCTCCGACGCGCCGACGAGCCCTCAAAGATGACCAAGATGGCATCAAAACTGGCCAAGTTGCCTCAGAGACGCCCCAAGAAGGCTCCAAGACGACTCCCAAGAGGGCCTCAAGAAGCATAATCGTGCCAATCCCCTGGGAAAGCATGCGTGTTGGGCATATTCGCATTTTCTGTGTGAACAGCGTCCAAGACGGCTCAAGAGGCCCCCGAGATTGCTCCAAGACGGCCCAAGAAGCCACCGAGCGAGCCCCAAAACGGCCGAAGAGGGTCCCAAGACGACCCAAGAGGGGCCCGAGAGGGACCCCACAGTGCCGCAAGAGGAGCCCAAGAGAAGCAACTCGGACTCGCATTCCACGCCCTACGCCCAAAGAGGACGCCCGAAGACGCCAGCGGGCGCCCAAGAAACTCCCGAAGAGGCCCAGAGAGGCCCCCCTAAAAGGCCCACGAGAGACCCCAAAGAGGCCCCCGGAGTCCCCCAAGAGGCCCCCAAACGGCCTCCCCCATGGACTTCATTCCCTCTTCTGGGGGTCGGCCGAATGGAGCAGGCCTCTCGAATCCAAGCCCCAGAGCAACGTGGGCAGTGCAAATAACGAAACATAGATGCTAAGCGCTGCAAGCACTGGCCATCGCTCGGACGTCCATTCCCTGTGTGTTTTGTTCGGTTTCGTGCGTGGCTTTTTCGCCAAATGATCACGGATGCTCCTCGATGGTCCTCGCCGAAGGAAAAATGCACACGTCCGAGCGAGGCCAAGAGCAATGCAAGACACTGCCATGGAATGCAGATCAGGCAGCAGCGGAGCAATCCAAACCACTGCAAGCGGTGCCGAGCAATGCGGAGCAATGCGGAGCAACGCATAGCAACGCAAGCCATGCAAAGTCATGCACAGCACGGTGAGGCGACGGGGTGTCGACGGCCCCACGGGCGGCACCAAGGCGACAGTCCGAGATCTATCCCGGTCCCTACGAACCGAAATAACTAAGACCCCTTCAGTGCAGGCACTGCTCAAGGAATAAAACATATTGGCCATAGTGTCCTGGCCACTATACATATAGGCCCCACTATGTAACTATGCTGCATGCGGTCTTCCGAACATACGGCCGGGAACTCTTGCTCCGGATGTCGCGGCGGCGGCACCAGCGACACGACATGCCCTGCGAGCTGGTAGCGTGTCGATCCGCTCCGTGGAGCGGGAAGCTGGGAAAGGTTCGGGACGTTGATGCTCGGGGGCTGGGAAGTGGTTAGGTCAGCGTCTCGCGCCGAAGCGTGGTGGGCCAGAACAGGCGGCGCGACACGCGAAACCAAAGCTCCTGACCGCAAACAGGCTCCAGTGCTATGCTGGATGCAGAATTTCCATCGCCTTCCGAAGACATTACCCCTAGCGCTCGCACAAAGTAGGGCGACGAAATGTATACCTATCCGCTGCCCCCTGACCAGGCCCATCCTGAACTCGGCAGCGGTGTACACGCCACGCCCTCCTGGCTCTGCGGCCAGGAGGACGGGTGCACAGCTCCTGGGCCCAGGAAGGGCTAGCCAGGGGGAGTGGAATATACACATGTATATATATATATGTACAAATGTATATGTATATGTTTATGTATCTGTATATGCAAATATATGGGTATATGTAGAATAGTACGACTAATACTAGAACTATTATTATTACTCTGATTAGTAAAATCATTACTCTTATGATTGTGATTCTTAGAAGTCGCATCAATACTCTTCGTATTGTTATTCGTTACATATATGTATATATATGCATGTATATGTCTTTCGGCGCTCGTGTAAAGGCCCGGCGGCGGCGTGCCGCGGCCGACCAGAGAGAGGCGAGCTGGGCCTGCGCTAGCGCGTCCAGGGCGCACTCGGCCTCGTCCTGCCTTGGAGGCGCGGCGGCGGCCGAGCGGGAGGCGACGACGAGAGGGGAGGGAGGGAGGGAGGGCGACAGGGAGGGAGGGAGAGAGGGAGTGACAGGATGAGGAGGAGGAGGAAGAAGAGGAGGAGGGGGAGGAGGGAGGAGGAGGAGGAGGAGGAGGAGGAGGAGGAGGAGGAGGAGGAGGAGGAGGAGGAGGAGGAGGAGGAGTTCGGGTACCTGGGGGGAGGAGGAGGAGGAGGAGGAGGAGGAGGAGGGAGGGAGGAGGAGAGAGGAGGAGAAGGAGGAGGAGGAGAGGAGGGAGGAGGACGGAGGGAGGAGGAAAGGGGCAGGGAGGACGGAGGGAGGGGGAAGGGGCCGCGGGACATTTCGCTCCGAACGGGAGGGGGGCGGCCTAAAGTTCTGGGGCGCTCAGGGTGAATTTTGATGTCCCCGCGGGCCTCCTCAAAAGCGCACGCAGAAGGAGGAGCAGCAGCAGCTTGGGCGGGGGAGGATCAGAGGATGATCGTCCTCCCCCTCCCCTCCTCCTCCTCCTCCTCCCCTCCCCCTCCTTCTCCTCCTTCTCCTCCTCCTCCTCCTCCCCTCGTTCGCCTCCTTCTTCTCCTCCTCCTCCTCCTCCCCCTCGTTCGCCTCCTTCTCCTCCTCCTCCTCCCCTCCTCCTCATCATCATCATCATCATCATCACATCACATCAGCATCAGCATCAGCATCATCATCAGCATCAGCATCAGCATCAGCATCAGCATCAGCATCATCATCATCATCATCATCATCATCATCATCATCATCATCATCATCATCATCATCATCATCATCATCATCATCATCATCATCATCATCATCATCATCATCATCATCATCATCATCATCATCATCTTCCTCTCCTCTGCGCCTCATGCCCCGCCAACTTGTCCTCATCATGTCCTCCTGCTCCCCGATCCTTCGCCCCCAGGGCTGGCGGCACCGCCTCCCTGGCACCGAGGGGGGTGGCAGGCGTGCCGGCGCCGACTCCTGAGGAGCGGCCTGACGGCGCTACCTTTGTGGAGGACGATCAATGGACAGGAAGCATGTTGCCAAATAATTCTCAGAGGTCTAAAACATGTTAAACAACATGTTTTAAACCTGTAATGAACATGCTTGAAACATGCTTAGAACATTTTCCGACATTTTGAACACATTTGAAATTCAATGATAGGACTGTCAGGGTGTCCATTGTCGTGGCATCCACAACGCTACCTCTTGGGCACTTGGCATGACGACGAACCCCCCTGGTCGGTGGCCTGACGACGCCACATCCTGCGGGCTGTCAGACGCCGATGCTTCCTGGGCGCCGGGCTCTGGGCGGGGCCCAGGGTCCTGACGACGCCACCTCCTCGGCGAAGTCAGACGACGCCACCTGAAGGGCGGGGTCTTGACAGCGCCACTTCCTGGGGGAGGAAGAGGAGGAGGAGGAGGAGGAGGAGGAGGAGGAGGAGCAGCAGGAGGAGGAGGAGGAGGAGGAGGAGCAGCAGGAGGAGCAGGAGGAGGAGGAGGCCAGGCGCCGCCACCTCCTGGGCGGGGGGCCGACGACGGCCAGGCAACGCCGCGCCCCGGGGGGCGGGCCTTCTCTCCAGCGCCTCCACGCGCGCCTGGCGCGCCCGCGGGCCGGCGGGCGCGGCGGCGACGGGGGCCCCGAGGGGGCAAAGTCGCCGGGGCGCGGCCACGAGAGCGCAGGTCCACTGGCCATCGCTCGGACATCCATTCCCTCTGTTTTTTTCGGTCTCGTGCGTGGCTTTTTCGCCAGATGAGCAAGGATGCTCCTCGGGGGTCCTCGCCGAAGGAAAAATGCACACGTCCGAGCGATGCCAAGTCCAAGGAGACGAGCCCCTTTTCGGGAGGGGGCGAGAGGCCAAGCTAGCAGAGGGTAGGGAAGTAGAGAATCTGCTCACGAGGCTGGTTTTCTTGGCGCTTCCTGGCGCCGGGAGGCGCCCATGCATCGAGGAACGGGCCTGGCGGCGGGGCCGAAACCAGCCGCACCCATTTCGCTATCCTACCCTTTCGTCTGGTCCGAACTTCGCAGAAGGCTGGATCAGCCAACATGCTCTCTGTCCAGCGCAGCGCAGTGTCGGAGGGGAGGCAGAAGAAGCGGGCACGGCAAGATGAGATGCTCGGCGACGCCTTCATGAGGCCACTGAGACATCTGACATGCCATGCACGCAAGTAGACCTGAGGCGTCCAGCCAGGTAGACGGGCTGTCCTGCGAGACCAACCCCTTCGCAGAAGGCAAGATCATGCGCATCGGGTCGGAAATGCACGTCGCAACGCAATGGGCATGGACGCCGAACCCGGCCGCATCGGAACGCAGTCGGGTTCCATCCGATTCGGCTGCGCACAGATGCACCACAACGCTATGTGGGCATCCGGCCACATCGGATCGTTGGAAGACCGGAATCGGATGGGATCTAGCCAGCCAGAGTCGAGATCGAATCGGATCGAGCGGATCTAAATGTACCCTGAAACGTAACCACAAACGCACAAGTCAAGGGCACGAACCCCGTCGCAGAATGCCCAAACCCCATAGGTGTATCCCGAAACGAAGTGCATTCCAAGGCGGAGAATCAAGACACGAAGAGCAAGAGAGTGCCTCTCCAGAGCAAGGGCTGCTCTTCACCGTCGTTCCAGCTCTCACCAACCTCGAGCTTCAGGAACTGTTGTTTAGCGTGTCGCGGCGGCGGCCACGGCAACACGCTGTGCCCTCCAACCAGATGTCGTGTCTCTCTGCTTCGCGGGCCCGGAAGCTGGAAAAAGCTCGGAAAGCTGATGCTTTGGGACTGAGACGTGCTTCGCATGTCGCGCCGAAGCGTGGTGGGCCGCAACCGGCAGCGAGACGCGCTAAGCAAACGTTCCTGACAGTAAGTTTACCCCAATGTTGACAAGCCAAGGGCGATTACTCACATGCTGTAGGATAGCAAGAGGTGGAGGTGGGATCATGTTTTTTGCGTTGTTGTTTCAACCCTTCCTCCTCTTCCTTTTGGGAGGAGGGGGAACAGAAAAAAAGGTTGAGCGCTGTTGGGTCTTTTCGAGCAGGGGGCTCAAGGGGGGAGGAATTGGGCCTCTGTTGCTTTCAGACCCCCCCCCTTTCCCCCTCTTCCTCCTCCTCCGAAAAGGAAGAGGAGCAGGATAAGAAACATGTTGTGCGCTGTGGGCACTTTTCGACATCCAGGGGCCTCCCTGGCAATGCCAAGCGGGGCCACCAGCTCGTTTCAAGGATTGCATTGCGCTTCGAAGAGTGCGGGTCCACCTGCCCGCGGGATCCCAAGAATAACCCTTGCTGTTCCGGTTCTTCGGTTTGCTGTTGCGTGCCAACAAAAAAAACTCACGCGCGGAGCGAGCGAAACTGAGCAAGCGTCTAAGAGAAAGAGGGAAGGCCGAGACAAAGACAGGAAGAGGGCGGGATCCAGAAGATAGACGCTGTAGAACTTCCTGACCCACTCTGCTGTTTCAAGGCAGGGAGTGTGGAAGACCCCTCAGAACCCCCAACATCCCGCAGAACCTCCTCACCAGCGAGAAGCTCGTCCAAAAAAACCGACCCCTGAGATCCTCGAGCTTCGGTTTTCAGGAGGGGCTGGCGACCCCCTTGGTTGAGGGAGACAAATGGGAAGTTCACGTGCTTAGGACGGGCAACATCGAGCTTCAATCGGCGATACTTCGTTGATAGATCGGCGCGGCCCTGCGCCGCCCTAGAGGTCAGACGCTAATCTCCGGGCGTAGCGGGCGGAACCAGCGGCGGCCACTTGCCTGCTGTAGGTGAGCGGCTAGTCGTCCTTCGTCGTGTGGTAGACGCGAATGGCCACAAACATCCTGGCCACAGCGTTCGCAACCCCACTTTCGCCAGGAAGTGGGAGTCGAGAGCGGGATGACCGATGTGGGTTAGGAGCTCGCCACCAGCTAGCCCCGCGGCAGGCCCAGCTGGCGCCACAACTTTCCGCAGGTCAGGTAGTGCTAGATCAGGTGGCTGCCTTCGCCCGCGCCACAGCCGAAAAGGGAGCAGCGCTTCTCGTGCAAGACGTGCATTCTGTACGATGTCGTCCGCGCGCCCGTCAGCATCTCGATGGCTGACCACGCCCGAGCGGGGGGTAGAATGGCCAGGTGCTCGCGGAGCCGCTTGCTGCGTGCAGGTAGGATCGTGTGGAACGCGGTCGGGCTGCAGGATGTCTTTGTTCTCGTGCTCGTAGAGGTCGGCAGGCGGGCCCTCGTCGCCAATGTCGCGGGTGGAGTCGTCGTCGACGTCCTCGCGCGCCGTGTCGGAGACGTCCGCGCTGTGGTCACGATGGTAAGCGATCTCGTCTGATCGCAGCGATGCTTGGAGACGCGCCTCCTCGCCCATGTTCCAGCAGCGCGCGGTTGATGGCGGCGTTCTCCCAGGTTTGGCGGCGCATCTCGGTAGCGACACGGCGGCGTTAAAGGTGGGTCACGTGCAGGGTTGGAACCCTTCGCGGCCCAAGACGTCGCAAATGCATTCCGTACTCCAGCAAATCCAGTCGGCATCGTTGTTGAGCTGGCGGCTGGCGAAGGAGAGGTCTGGCAACCAGTTTGCGGCCCACGCGCGAGAGCGTGCGAGTAGGTGTCCCTGCCTTTGTTCAGCATAAGCTCGGCGTCAATTAGGCGGTGCAAAAGCGTGCTGAAAAGGCGTCGTCAGTCGACGGGAACGAGGCCAGCAGGCGGCGCTTGATGGTGTCACCCACCCATCGTGTCGGCGAAGGGCTTCTTGCTGTCCTCCACATCATTGCTGACAGGTGCGTTTTGATGTCACTCGGGATGGCGAGTATATCAGACTTGCGATGCTGGACGGGGCGACGCGCAGCAGCTTGTGGATGGTCTGGAGCACCTTCTGCATGATGCCGTCAGGCGGCTCCAAGGGCTTGCCGGCGGAGCCGAGGCAGGCGACGGCGGCGACGTTGTACTTACAGCTTGATGCACTGCTGCAGCGAGGCGTGCGAGGCGTCGAGCATCTCGACGCGGCCCCACAACTGCACAGAAGGACTGCGCCATTGGTCAGCCAGCGTGGTGCCAGGGCCTGTGAAGAAGCCTTGGCAGCGCGCTTTTGATTCAAGCTTGAAGTCCTTCCACGGCTGGTGGGCAGCTGCCAGGACCCTGCGCAGCTCGGCGACAAGGCCCTATGACAGGAGAGTCCAAGTCGGGACGATTCTGACGAGGATCACAGACGCAAAGATGATGAGCGCAGTGGTAGCATGACATATCCGAAACCAAAGAGCAGGATGAGGAGGAACGGGATGACGAGCACCTCTGTCACAGCGGGCCTCCAAACGAACCCCCTCTGTCACAGAGTGGCAACATGATCGCTTTAATGCGGCTTTTGGATTATCGTGGAGCCTGGCGACAATGATGCCGAGGTCGCCGACGCAGGCGCAGACAAGTCCACGGCCGATCTGCCGCAGCTCGCGGCTGATGGCGGTGATGAGCGGGTCGAAGGCGAGCGCCCAGATGGTGTGCCGTTCAGTGGGCAGCCTTGCGCGAGACCCGCTGCTGCGATCAGCAGGGGGCGGCGCACCCCTCCCGAGTCCAGGTGAGCGACGGGCCAGTGGTAGCACGCCTTCAGGATCTTCATTCTGCTGCCCTGGATGCCCCGGCGCTCGGCGGTCTCCTACATTCACTGGCGGCCCAAGCTGGGAAAGGCCGCCGACGGGCATGTCGGTATCGACCGTGGGAGAAAAGACTGTGCCGGCGGATCTCAGCGCCGACAACAACTACATTGGTCACGAACTGGCGGCCGTTGACGAAGCCCTGCTGCTCGGAAGCGGAGCATTGGGATGATGAGGAGGGGGAGGAGGAGGAGAATGAGGAGAAATAGACAACGGAGAACGAGGAGGAGGAGGAGGACGAGGAGGAGAAGGAGGAGGAGAAGGAGGAGGAGGAGAGGAGGGGGAGGAGGAGAAAAAGAAGAAGCCCGTCTCTTCATCCTTGCTCCCCCGCCCCTCTTACTTATCCGTCTTATTAATTATACAGGCTCAAAGCTGCCGTTGGCAGGTGTATCGTAAGTCGTTCCTGTTCGGAGCTCTGTCTCGCAGCGGAGATTGCTGCACATTCTTTCAAAACTGCCCCCTGAGGGGTAGCAAAGCCAAATGTTGTGGCAAGGGTCTGGTCTCTCCTCTGCTTCCCCGTCCCGCCCCGCGCCCACCTCATCTGCCCTTTCCTTCTCCCGAGTTCCCTTAAACCCCTCACTCTCCCTGGGCGATGCGGGGGCCAAGATTGAAGGCGAAGCGGAGCGAGCCACCAAAACCTTGTGCACAGATGTGCATCTACCAGATACATATACCTACACACGTTCAACGATTACTTTTATCACGGTTAATCTGGGGAGGCCCTGGAGAGAGGTCACGTGGTCGTCTGTGACCTCAGAACAAGCGCCTCTTTTTTGTCAAGCCACGAAGTTGAGCAGGAACCGACCGTCCTGGCATTCCTGCAGGCCTACCACGCAATGCTCTTAGAACACAACATGTTAGAAGAGCTCAACAATGGACTTTTAACTCAAACCCTATTCATTAAAACAGAACGGTCTGAGCCAGAAATGTTCTAAGAACATTCCGTGCAGACGCAACTGGTTCTTAGACCATTCTCTGGTGGGGCTAGAGGGAGGCCAGGAAGCTTCGCCACTGCTCGAAGAAGCTTCGGGCGGCTAATGCTGATGCCCTGGAACTCATTGAGAACCCAGGAACCCGTCCGACCGGCATCCTAGAGCGCCTGCCTGGGGGAGAGATTGGTTCAGGTTGGAAAACATCGAGCTCGAATCGGCGATACATCTGCAATAGTTCAGCGATGAGCATCCGGTAGCGAACTGCAAAATCCTCACGGGGCGCAACCTACGAGGCCCCTATCGATGCGATACCCCCGGAGCCTGTCGCAGTCAGAAACTATACACAGTCAGGAACCTTTGTTTAGCGCGTTGCGGCGGCGTCCCCTGCAGGCTCGGGACGTCGGTGCTTGGAGGCGGGGACGTGCTCAGCGTGCCGCGCCGAAGCGTGCTGGGCCGAACTGGCGGCGCGACACGGCAAGCACAAGTTCTCGGCCGCAATGCGGTCGAAAGACGTAGCACGGTGTGGGTCGGCGCTGGACCCCTCCTCCCCGCAACCCCTGCCCTGGCGCGCGGAGTGCATGCCAAGGGCGCCGCTGGCGTTTCCTCCCGAGTCGTCTTGTCGATGGTCTCGGGGCCCAGTGAGGGCCAGTCTGCAAATGAGTGCCGAGCGCCTTTCGCTCCATCGTGTTTCGTCGTCGTCGTCGTCGCCGTCGTCGTCGCCGTCGTCGTCGTCGTTTTTCTCGCGACGCGAAGGAATCTGGTGAGGGGCCCTGCGCCGACCCAATAGATCCGCACAGGCCTGCGAGAAGTTCCTGTTATACGCCACTTGTCGGTCTCCTCCGAACGTTGCATTCTTTGCGCGACGTGGGCCCCTGACCTCGACTCGTTCCCCAGGGCCGATGATCCATCCCGATGTGTAACTCCTAGCTGAGGCCGAAGCGGCCTTCGGGATGCCGAAAACGTAGAAGAACCAGAGCCCACGACGTTTCCGAAGCGCTCGCTGTCGGCGCGCAAACGGGCTGAGGGCCTCTAAGAAAACGGGGGCCTTCCTAGAAGCCGCACCCCTCAGGCCCTGTCAGGACGGCGGCCGCTGGCTTCTCAGAAACTCCCTCGCCTTCTTGGAAGAGCCACTCGCGCCACAACCTTGTGCGCGCCGTCACCTGGGTCGGACGAGTGAGGGGTGGAGTGAATAGTGGGCTTGCGAGTCAGCTCTCGTAGCTGGCTTTCCCGCCGACCGTGGCGCCAAGGTGCCCGCGAGCGCGCGCCGAGACGGGGCCGGGGCCAGCTGCGTACGACAGACGTTGAACCCCTCCCCTCCCCTCGCCCAGGAGCTCGGGTCTCCTGCGGCCGCTCGGGACGAGTCGGGCATTCCAGGAGCGCCTCCGGCGAGGCGCAGCTTCTGGAGAGCGCCTGGAGCGCCGAGAAGCTCGACAACCTCTCCATGCCAACGGCCGGCCCGACTCCAGACATCGGGGGCGGCCGAGCGGGGGGCGTCCAAGAGGGGGGGCGCAGATCATGGCCGGCGGCATGTGCTCGGCTCCGGGGGGGGGGGGGAGGGCGGGACACAATGCAATAAGGAGAGGCGCCATGATCGCGTGGCCCCCGCCGTGATATCCACCACCCCCTCGTCATCACCCCCCCCTTGGACGCTCCCGAATCGGCGGTGGACAAACCTCCCTTTAGCATACCTGCCCTTAGTGAAAACGGCCTGGGACCGAAACCGACGGACCTGTACCCGCAAAAATGACGGCCGAGACGCCCTCTCGCGAACCGAAAACGGCCAATTCCTTAATCGACGAGTCAGGGTAGAAGGTCTAACCACCTCCGACCGAAGGAAGGCCCGAAGGTCTGAACGGTGTCGTCGCCGACGCGACGACGGGCGCCTCCAGCTCCGGCCCCGCGGCCGCCGGCCGCGCGGCGCTGCCCGCGTGGAGACCCTCCTCGAGCGCCTGCCATGGGCCGCGGCCGCACCGTCTCCGACCCCGCCCTGCCCCGCCGCTCCGTGGTTCGGATCTCGAACATCGTTCCTCCCCCGCCCTCCCCTCGTTGCGAGCCAAAAAAAACAACGGGGCACTCGTCCTTTTGGGCCTCCGAAGGCCCTCGCTGGGCCCTGGGACCAAGGACCATCAAGAACAACCTGGAATGCAAGATCGGCCCCGGGAAAAGGGTCTAGACCTCTGGGGGTCGACGCTGCGCAACATCACGGCGTCGGAGGTCCGCGTCGGACCACAGCTCTCGACCCTCGACGCTCGATCCTCGATCTGCGAGCTTCAGTCCTCGATCCTCGGACCTCTGTCCTCGAACCTCGAGCCTCGATCCCTAAAAATGGTGGAGCTCCCCCCGACCCTGCGAAGATCCCTAAGAAGCCCTGGGAGGCCCCCAAGAAGCCTCCATAGCGGCTTCAAAGAAGGCCCCAAGGAGGCCTTCTACATGATCCCGCTGCTTTCCGGAAGGCCTCCAGGGAACACTGAGGATGAGCCCCCCTCTGGCCTACTCCCGGGCCCTCCTGGAGCTCTCCCTTCGGCCCCTTCGGCGCGTGAGCCCACTCGGCCGCCGAGTGTGGGCGGCCGAGCTGGCTCCAGTCCAGGGCGCTCGCGGGGATCACGCCCGCTCGGCGGACGAGCGGGCTCGACCCTGAGCCCGCTCGGCGGCCGAGCGGGCTCCATCGCCGAGTGTTTTTTTTGATTTGCGCGCGGGTGATCGTCTGCCGAACACTCCTGCCCGTGGCGCCGAAACGACGAGCGAGGGGCCCGAAGAGGGGCCGAAAGAAGCGAGGGACGGACCAGGACCCGAACAGAGCCGAGCGAGGGACCGAACCGAACAAAACAGGGACAACGAAAAATCGAAGGCCCGAGACAAGCGATGCACGCCGAAGAGACAGAACGAGGGGCCACGGCGAGCCCTGGCCACGGACGGGTTCCTCGACCCCGGGTCCGGGGGAAGGGCCCGCACGCCGGAGCCTCTCGCCATCCCAGCGCAGCGCCCTGCTGTGGGCTCGGGGGCAGGAGAGCCCAGCGACGAATCGACGAGTCGGGTCGGCGACCGAAGCGAATAGGATCGGCGGAACTCGGCAGGCTAGCATTGTGGATGCCATGACAGTGGACACTCCAACAATCCTGGCATTGAGTTCAGGATGTGTCGAACATGTGCAATACGTGTTCTAAACATGTTTCAAACATGTCTTTCACATAGTTTAAACATGCTTGAAACATGTTCTAGGCATCTGGAAATGATTTGGCAGCATGCTTCCTCTCCGCCCATCGACTTCCACAAGGCTAGTATAAGGCCTCCGTTCCGAGAAGCCGGCCTCCAGATCGAACTCCGACATCGAATCCGAGTCGGAATCTATCAAAATCCGAATCGAATCGAGCCCGAGGAATCGAGACGAGGCACGCAGCCATGCGGAGGCGCCCCCCAGGGGCCTCCCCCTCCACTCGGATCCGGGCGCCGCAGGAGACCACGCGACGGCCGGCCTCCGGAAGCCTTCCGCCTCCACGAGGCCGCCCCCCGACCCCGGGGCCGTGCACTTTTTTACTTGCGCGAGAAGGTCGCCCCGTGGCTAAGGAGGAGAGAGGAGAGCAGCAAGGGGGGGGAGAGCAAGAGGAGAAGCAAAAGCAGCAGCAGCAGTGCAAAAGAGGCGCGGCCGGCGGCCGACGCCTGGCGCCCCGGCTTTGCGGGGCGCTCGTCCCGGTCCAGCGGCCGCCTGCATCGGGGACTGTGGCGAGCCATGACGCTGGCGCGCTCGAGGTAGCTGCGGTCGTGTGTCGAAGCATTCTCCGGGACTCCTCCTCTCCGGATGGAACGGGCAACGTCGTGGTCAGCAGTGTCCTTGTCGAGGGGGCCTTGAAAAGCCACTGAGGACAAGAAGCCAGCCCCAGGGAAGTAGTCGCGGCCGCTACAATCCGACTCCGTCCCGCCCCGCCGCCCATGCTTGGGCAGCCCAATCTCTGTCCCGGGCGCTATGCGCGGCGCGCAGAGGGACCCGACGCTTCCAATACAGGTCAATCGTGATCGGGGCCCCGCGGAAGGTCGGGGCCCCTTCCCGCAGCAAAAACTCGACTAGAGCTTGAAAACGGTGGCGCGGATGCCCCCATTGTCCTTCAGCGTGCAATTTCCAGGGCTAGGAATCAATGCGACAACATGGGAATGCAAGATGACGATCATAATCTAATATCCCCACGAACCTCGACCTTGGAGCATGTGCGCACCCAGTGAGGAGTGCAAGCCAGTAAAGCGTTGAGATAAGGAAGAGCCGAGAATCGGGGACAGAGGCTCTCTCCCCCCTTTCCCCTGCTGCCGAATTTCCCTCCGGCCACCCTTCCCGCCCAGGCGAACGGACAACTCTCTCACACACACACACCCACACCCACACCCACACCCATACCCCACACCCACAGAGGCGGCGGGCGGGGTTATGGGTGCGTGTTGTCGGATGGGGGTCCTCGCTCCCTGCCCGTCCCTGACCGCCCCGGCCCGCTCTGCCCACCGCCCTGACCGAGCCGGCGGCCACCTGGAGCTCTCGACCGCCCTCCCATGACCAGCGCTTGCGTGTCGTGCCGAGGCCCTATGCCTGGACGGCACCCCCGGCCCCGGGAAGCGGCCTCGCCGAGCAAGCCGAGAGAGATCCCAGCCGCCAGAGGGGTCGGGGAGGGACGAGGAGACAGGACAGGACGGGCGCCGACGCCACTGCACGCACGTGCGGGCAGCGCCTCCTGCGGAGGAACGGCGGTGGGGCAGAAGGCCCCTCCCGTGTGCCCCGCGTCGGTCCAGTGTCGCAGGCTGAACGCCGGGCCCTCGCCTGGCGGCTCCCTCGGCGAGTTCCGGCTCGCACAGGAAAGCTTCGCATGCCCACTGACGCGGACTGGGAGAAGGAGAGGGGCAAGGACGCCGATAGCGACGAGGGCGAGGGCGCACTGGCCAGAGGCAGCAGGCGACGGGGTCGGCCCAGAAGCCCGAGGGGAGGGGCCGCCAGAGGGCGGGGGCTGGAGTGTCTCCGTTTGCACCGCAAGCACTCCACCAGCAGCTGACATCCACGCGTTGCCCTCGCACACGTCGTGGCCAACGTCCCCAACCACGCCACTGCCACGGGCATCGCAAGCTCACGAAGCAGGAACGAGGGAACGGAGGAGGAGGAGGAAAGAAGGAAGAGAATGAGGAGGGGGGACGACGATAGCGACGGCGGGGAGCCTCGAGTGCGAAGGGGGGGAGAAGGAGCGCACCTACTGGAAGTGCAGGGGGTGAGGTCGGCCCGCGGGACGCAGGTCTGCGCGGGGAGGGGGGGGGCGGGCTTCAGGGGCAGGAGCTGGGGGGGGCAGGATGTCGAGGACCTCTTCAGTTCCCCTAAGCAGTGCTTGCACTGAGGGGCTCTTGAACCTGGCTGTCTGCAGGAACATGTTTGGACGGGCATGTTGGGTTTTCGCCACGCTGCGGGCCCGTGCTGCCTCGCGGGCGCCTCGTGGGCGCCCCGCGCTGGGGGGTGCGTCGAAGTTGCGCCATGTTGCTGCCCGTGCCACCTCGTGGGCGTCTGGTGGGCGCCCACCGCTCCGTGAAGCATAATGTTGAGGGTGCACCACGTTGCCGCCCGTGCCGCCTCGCGGGCGCTTCGATATAGATTTTACCACATAGCTTGCAACGCACAGCTTGTAACACAGAGCTTACACCACATTGACTACACCGCATTGCTTGCACACTATAGCTTACACCACAAGGCTTACATAATCTAGCTGCCACCTCCACTTCACACAGTATAGTTGACAGGGCATAACTTACATCGCATAGCTTGCACTGCATAGTTGTCATCTCCATGGCGCTTACCACATAGCTTTCACAAAATGGATGTCACCACATAGTTTACACCGTATCGCATTCCCCTCCACAGTGCAGTAACTCCGTGCTGGGGGTCGACGCTTGCTACCATTTGTCCTGCCCCAACGACCGTCAGGCTGGAGTGGCTAGATTTTGACACAAGACCTCCCGACCCGCCTCACCCACCCTGAATACCACGGCCGCCAGACCCCAAGGCTCCCGGTGTTCGCTGGGTATCCCGCCTCTCGTCGTCGACGGATGACGACTGCATTCCGCGGTCGCCAGGTCGCCATGGTCCAGGCACTCCCTGGGTATCCCGCCTCGTGTTCTCGCCTCTCGATCGCTCGAAGCAAGTTAAATAAGGCCCTGAGTAGGACTTCTCTTCCGCCGCAGGCACTCCACCAGCATGCCATTAAAGAATGTTGGACAATCGAAGTTCGGTTGGGGGGGGAAGTCGATGGGGTGGGGAGAGGGGGCGAGGACGAGAAAAGGGGAGGGAGGGCTGGGCGAAGGGAAGGAGGAGGGGAAGAGGTGGGGGGAACTCTTGGCACGACCGATGCAGCGTTGAAGCTGTGAGACATGCCAGCGCCAGAGAATCTGAAGGTTGCACCCCCTCTTCGTCATGCTGAGCCACTTGTCAGGGCCAACGTGGCCTAAACCCTGGGGGTGGGCGGGATCATCGCCTACTTGATATAAACTAGAAGACTCCAATCGGGCCACACATGACGAGTGGAGGAGGATACAACCAACTCCAGCTTGACCACTGGCTGCGCAAGACATCACGACCACTGACATGACATGGCACAGCCTGGCATAAGACACGTCACCACATCGAGTTTTTTTTTTACAAAAAAAAAAAAAAAAAAACGACGCGAGCCACACGCACGACAGGAAGCACCCTGTTAAAGGATGTCCTGGGCAATAGTGTCGACTCTTGCGATGGCAAATATTTCGGTTGCTGTGTAATAGGTTCCGCCTGATTGTTTCTCTCCCTCTCTCGCTGTCCCCGACTCTCGTCCTTCCTGTCCCGCCCAGCAAGACCATCTGGATGGCTTGGTAGCAGCCTGTAACCAAACTGCAACGCGCATGCCAATATGCACCCCGACCAACGCGCAACAGAAGCACGCGGCTGTGCTACACAAGAGAAGGGCTGGCCGCAATCCGGTGCAACATCTCCTCCACAGCCTGCGCCCGCGCCGCAGGTAAAAATGGCAATGATGCTCGCTAGCGCTACCACTTCTGCGACCCAGCCCCACATTCATCTGCAGCCATCCTCTGGCGATGAACCCTGAGAGCCTAACAGTCCCACTAGATGTACGGACGCATGGGCGCCGCAGGTTGATGCAATTTTTGTTTTATCGAGCAAATTGCCTAGACGAGTCGGAAGTGGGCAAGTGGCAATCGTACATGTGCTTGTGGCTTTCAGGATGTGGCCATGAAACAAATCTATTCCCGCCACTGCCAGAGGCCTTGCATCATGGCCGCGGCTCTGCATCAGCATCCGTAGATGCGCAATGTTTTACTGATATGCCCGCGGCAAATCGGGCATTTTGTGAGCGAGGGGGCGCACTCGCTGCACGCGCACATATGACCGCAGGGGTCAAATGCGACCTCTGGGGCCTTGCCAAAGCAAACGGCGCACTCTTGCTCGCGACCACGCTTTGCCGACTGGCGTCCAGGTGCATCTGTGCCTGTGCCTACCTGGACGACGGCGCTGTGATCGGAATATTGGCTCCAGATGGCTTCCACGCGTGCTGCCACTCTGGCTTTGTATGAAACGCCAGGCACCAGATCTTTCACAACGACTGACGTCGCTTTCCCAGCACCTGCACCTTGGTCGCTGAGCTGCAAGGAACTACTCTGCCAATTCGCATGCTTGACCGCCCCATCATACACAATGATGTCATAAACTTGTGCATTCGGCACTGCTGGCCAAGCAACGACGAGCGTAGAATTATTGACCGGCTCCAGTAAGGGCGGCTGTGGGACCATGGCCAGTTTGACAACCTCGCTGGGAGCAGAATACTCGCTCCAAAGGGACCCATGCAAGCTGATCACCTGTGCTATGTGAGCCACACCGCTCTTCAAGCCCTCAACGACGACCCATGCGTTGCGTCCAGCTGATGCATCCTTCGCCTCTGTGCGCAATGAAACCGTTGGCCAATCCACATACTTCGTCTCTCCATCGTGCAGACTGACTCCGTACTTGACTGAACCAGGCACGGCTGGCCATGACACAAGCAACGACGACGCCCTTGCAATTTTGAGACATGGACGTCCCCGTGGGATTTACTTCGGCAGTGTGACAGCCGCGCTGAAAGCAGAATAATCGCTCCAAGTGGACCAATGCAAGCTGGCCACCTGTGCTGTGTAAGCCACACCGCTCTTCAAGCCCTCAACGACGACCCATGTGTTGCATCCAGCTGATGCATCTTTTGCCTCTGTGCGCAATGACTTAGTTGGCCAATCCACATACTGTTTTTGTCCATCGCGCAGACTGACTCTCTATTTGTCTGCACCAGGCACGGCTGGCCATGATACAAGCAGCGACGAAGCACTTGCAATCTGCAAGGACGGTGCCACAATCGCCATGGCATGGAACTCCTAAGCAATGGCATAGTAGCGACATGCTTATGCTTGGGCCAACACAAGCTGCAGACGATGTCAATGGTACTACCACTTTTGCTGTGAGCTGACCCCATCGGCTGTATAGTAAACCTCGAGATGAACCAACGTGGTCGGTGTCGCCTGTGATAGCCCCCGTTACAGTACGCGTGCCGAATCAAAAACATCGATGCCGATACAAGTAAAGCATCGATGAACAGCGCCGTACCAGGGAGCTATGGCCACTAGAGACGGTACGTACACGTGATCAGCTGACATTCACACGAACCCTGTCGGAGAAAGGCACGCTGCGCGCATATAAAAACAGTGGCACAAAACAAGTTACGACCGTGAAAATGAAAAAGGCAGCCATCCTCCGCACGGCATCAGGCGGAGGCCCGAGAACGAAACGCAATGCAAACCCGAACTCGCGTCTGTGGGGGCACACGCATTGAAAAATATACGGAACGAACGACCAGGGAACGTGACCCAAAAAGCTAGGGGGAGGTACGGTTTACCGAATCGGCTCCTCCAAGAACTCCCTCCTCCCCCTCCAGGGAAGGGATGGTCCCTCCCCATGATCCCTCCTGCGGGGTCTCGCAACGACCTGGTCATGGACACTTTCACGATGGACCGGTGGAACGAACGGAAGACGTGGCCCCATCACCAAATCGGACCAGCGGGCCAGTCCGTCCTGTTGACAACCGTGATTGGCCAAGCAGGGGGCGGAGCCAAAACTTTGAGTTTGACAAATCCCTCGGTGGCTTCTGTCAGGCTTTGTCTCGATGCGGGCATACTCTGATCCTCGTCCGGGTTCCGCCTCCGTCCAAGCCTCACCGTCTAGGGTGCTCAGTGGGCATCGCTCGTCCTGGCCGCATCCGGATTCCACGAGTCCTGGTCGGAATCTCCTGGTCAAGTCTGCTTTCCTTTCGATGACGTCTGCACCAGAAGAAACGACCCGCATCTGAGCTACGGCTAGGGTCCAGTGTCCATATACATAATCAACGCGAAACACTCTCGCCAGACACCCCGAGAGATCAAATCGGAAGCGAAGGCCGTTCTCCTTTTCAGGACCGACATGCGGGGCTTGTCTCCTCTGCTGAACAGCGTGGCAACTGGCAGGGGGTCGAAGTGTACGGCCAAGTCGCCTGGTCGGCCCAGGAGTGCGGCGCACAGACGTCCTGGCTTCCCGAGCTGTGGGATGCCCGAGCGTCTATGAACCGATCTCCTTCGCCGAATTCCCCAGCCCGGTCGCCGACCAAAACGACATGGTGCACACATCGGGCTCATCCGAGCGGCACCCTCTCAGTTGCGGGGCGAGGCCTGGACGACGGTCGGGGCTCGCGGGCCGTGCAAGCGGAAGCTCCTGTCAGCACCGGGACCTGCGCGCAGCCTGGTCAGCAACCTGTTGCGGCGGCCTGTTCAAGGAACCTCGAATCTCCGATGCGGCGCGGCAAGAGCGAGAGGCGTCGCCTGGGACCTCGCGCGGGCGCCCGCTGGCCCTTTGACGCAGGCCCCCCTCTCTGGCCAGTCTTCGCTGCCGCTGCGAGCGTCGCTGCACCTGCATCTGCGACGTGTCTCCAACTGCTGCGATGTCCTACCCGAACGTCGCCACTACGTGACTGGGCCCTCTTGCACTGCACAGCTCCACGAGCGCGCGCAACGATCATCGCCCTACGACTGCGAAGCGGACGCAGCCGTAACGCTTTTCAAGGACCGCGGCACCGCGCGTGCATAGCACGCGGCCGACCCCCACCGCTGCGCCCTTCGCGGGCTTGACCCTTGACCCTCGAGGATCGAGATGGACCGTTCGGGTGCTCGTTAACCAAGGGGAGACGTAAGACCCGGGTACGGGGGACTCGGAAATCCCCGACGAGGTCGTCAAAAAAATGACGAGGCCGAGCCTGCATTTTGACGAGGCCTCCCGCTGCAGACATCCCACAAAACTCCCCCTCGTCAAAATCCGAATCGCGGTCGTCAAAAAACGATGGCGAACCCGAGTCCTGGCAAACCCGGGTCTTACGCTCCCCCGAACAAAGGGGCGATACACGGGGTCTGAAGAAACGCGCGCCTCTCGTGCAGCCTCCGCGCACCGCTTTTGGGGCCCGCGGTGGGAGGTGTAGGGGGCCATGTCGGGCCCCTTTGGCGACTTCTCTCCTGCAGTCCTCGAGCCCCCTCGATGATTGCCTCCGACCCCGCTGCCGTCCTCCCGGGAGGTTTCGGAGTGTCTCCTCCCAGGTTGGCTCTTTGCGGCTTCCCGTTCTCCTCCCAGGGGCCTGCAGGCAGGCTCCTGGGCCCTCCAGGAGCCTCCTGGAAGGTCCGAGGACGTCCGAGGGTCACCCCACACCCCATTCATCCTCCTCCCCCCGCCTCCTCTGGGACCCTGTTGAGAACTTCTTGAGAGCCCCTGCGCTCCCCGAGATCCCCATCGAACCCCCCATCGCATTTAGGACCGCCTTCTTCCTCCTCCTCCTCCTCCTCCTCCTCCTCCTCCTCCTCCTCCTCATCCTCCTTATCCTCCCCAACGTCCTCCCCCCTCTAGCAAACCACATGTATATCCTGCCCATGCGAGTTTGATTTCTGCAACACCGGCGGGGACTCATAATGAAAATAATGGCAACAGCTAAGCGAACCCCTACGGAGGTGTCCGATGCTTCGCCGTCGATTAGACCTCAGGGGCAAGGCTCGCAAATGGGTTCCTCCTCCTCCTCCTCCTCTTCTTCCTCCTCTGCCTCTTCCTCCTCCTCCTCTCCTTTCCTCTCCTCCTCCTCCTCTCCTCTCCTCCCCTCTCCTCTCCTCGCCTCCGACGCCGCAACGTGTTCGTAACCTGGGCCCCCAGAGAATTGCAAAGATCTCCACCCCCCTCCCTGGGAGCCGGGCGCCCCGTTCCGCGCCGATCCTTGGGCCCTCGGCCAGCAGACGCTCCATGGAGCCCGAAAGGGCGTCGACAAAACGCGAGCCGTCGCGACCTCGGCGCCGCGACGCGCAGAGCCGAGGGCCCTCCGCCCCCCCCCTCCCTCGACGAGGTCCACCGACAAAAACAAGACAACAGTTCGGTCGGGCATGTCCCCCCCTACAGGGGGATTTTGAGCGAAACAAATAATCAAAAAATATGTCCAAAATGCTCAAAAATAGTTGAAAAATAATCCCAAAATCTATTCCTCCTGTAGAGGGACAGGCCCGACTTAACCCTCCCTCGACGAGGTCCACCGGCAAAAGCACGACAACAAGCGCGGAGGGCGGAGCGCCGACGAGGGCGACCCCGAGAGAGGCCGCAGATCGGTCCGCCGCCGGCCTCCTCCACGCGCCGCAGCCGCACCGTCTGGCGCCGCTGCACCTCCTGGGGCGGGGGGCGGACCGCCACACCGTCGTCGTCGTCGTCGTCGTCGTCGTCGTCGTCGTCGTCGTCGTCGTCGTCGTCGTCGTCGTCGTCGTCGTCGTTTTGTCGTTTTGTCGTCGTCACACCGCCACCGTGGCTGGTCGGGGCCACCCTAGGCTCGAAGACGGTTCGCCCTCCTGGCAGCGCCTTCTCGGGAGGCGGCGTGGACTTCTCAGGAGGCAGAAAGCCCCGTGAGTCGCCTGGGGAGGCACACCCCTTCTGCCTTCCCCCCATGGGCGCGCCGCCAAGAGGAGGGAAGGGGGGGAGGGAAACTTCTCGCCTACTGTTCTCTCTCTCTCTCTCTGTCTCCCTCCGTCTCTCTCTGTCGGGCCCAGCCTGCCCAGGTGGCGTGGGTGGCGTGGTGTGCGCCGCCGTGGGCAGGCCATTGGATGATTGAGATCGCTCGCCGTATACGCATGTGTCGGAGGTCGAGGGGTGAGGTCGCAGTGGAACGGGTGGCCCCCCACCGGGAAGTCGGTGTGGGCTTCGTGCTCATGTCGCGCGTGCGGGCGAGGCGGAGCTGCGCAGGCGCGCGAGAGGAATGACCCCGCCGTCGCTAGGGCGATTCGGATGCAGTGGACTGCCCCTTCGCCCCGAGTGGGCGCGCGGTGGCCCGGGGTGTCCCGCCGTGGTGTCCTGTGGTGAACAGTTGGTCTCCCGTCGGTCTTCAGTGGGCGGTGGGCGGGCGGTGGCCGGGGGGGTCCCGCCTTGGTATCGATAGTGACGTCGATAGTGAGATCGATGATCAGATCGCTAGAATGACACGGACAATGACATCAAAAGTGAGATCGACAGTGAGGTTGATTGCGGCATTGGTTGTGAGATCGGTACTGGGATCAATAACCCCGTGCCCACGATAATAATGTACCCTCCCTTCAGCCGTTAGGGTTTTTTATCGTCGACCAATAAGAGTTTGGTCGGGGGCGCGGGGGCGCGGAGGCCGAACTTCATTATCACTGGGAAAGTTCGCCATCGAGGTTACTTCCTTCTCATGCTTCTCGTGCTCTTCCTCCTTCTCATCATTATCATCTTTCGTTTCTTCTTGCTTGATCTCTCTATTTCTAGTTATTTTTCTTCTTGTCTCCCTGCCCCCCTGAACTTGTTTATCGCTGGGGTTGGTTATCCTGGGAAAACTAAGCACATGAGCTACCCTACACGAGCAGATGAAAATTTTAATTTTCATTAAGCGTTTGCAGATTAAATCTAATAAGTTTTGAACATTGGATGTTTGCTTCCTCTTCATCTGCTTCCCCTGCTCTTCCTCCTTCTCATCCTTCTGCTCTTTATTTTCTTATTTCTTTATCTCTCTCTCTCTCTCTCTTTCTCTCTTTCTATTTATTTTTCTTCTTGTCTCCCTGCCCCCTGAACTTGTTCATCGCTGTGGTTGTTTATCCTGGGGGAACTAGGCAGAGCGAGCAGATGGAAACCTTAATTGCCATTAAGCGTTTACAAAATAAATCAAATAAGTTTTGAACTTTGGATTGTCGCTTCTTCCTTCTCCGCTCCTCTCTCCTCCTCCTGCTCCCCCTGCTCTTCTTTTCCTTATATCTATATATGCATGTTCTTTGGATTTCCTTCTCTCTCTGGAAGCTTGATATCTCTTTATGCTGGCTCTGGCGGGCAACTTTTATTATCCCCCCGAAAACCCCGAACTTTATTATCCCTTAGGGTTTATTATCGGGGGCATGGGGTTAGTGAGATCGATACATGACTCGATCGTGAGATCGACAGTGAGCTCGGTACTGAGATCGAACGCGAGATCTATAGTAAGAGCGATTGCGAGTTCGATGCTGAAATCAGGTGTTTTCGATCAAGTGTGATCGGTCCTGTGAAATGATGATGGAAGTCGATGGTGAAGTCGATCGTGAAATCGACCTCACCATCGACTGTGATATCGTTTGCATGGTCCGTCTTGGTTCACGTTCCAGCCACCACTCATCGCATTGCAACCTCTGCGGCCAGTGCGATCAGTCTCGCGGCCACAGCGACTATTGCTACCGCAACTGTGTGGCCCAAGAAAGTCAGACGCACGATCATGCCTTCCGCCTCTTCGTCATGTCTGCGGGTGGCGCGCGCCTCTTCGCCAGTACCCCCTCACCGCCAAGCTCTGCCAAGGGTCTGCCGCCGGGCTCTGCCTGCGATGCCAGGTATGGCGGGTCGCGCAGTTAGCGCAGCGTTTCGAATATTCCGCTGGCTCTAGAGCGGGGTGCGTGAAGCTCGCCCCAAGCTGAGTCATGTTGGGCCGACAGTTGTTCTATGCTCTGGGCAAGGTGCCGAGGCTGACGCGGGTGGCTTGGCAGCAGACGAAACCCTCTCAGGGTAAAAATGGCAACCATTACATGGAGCATAATGTGTTGGTGCATGTGGATGGGTACTCTGGCAAACCGCTGGAACTCGAGCTCAACAACCATCAACACACAAAGTCCAGTCAAGCACGCTGGACGGTCACGGTCTACTTCAAGGAGCCGCCGCAGGGCATGGAAGCACAGGCCTGGCGCATCCTGCTTCGCGTTGATCGCGGCAGGGAGTTCCATCCAGAGCACGCGCGCGTTTACTGCGACAGTGCGCTGAAGTAGGTGGGCGCCGAAGTGCCAGGAGACAAGCCGCCAGCATCTCAGCGCTCTCCAATAGAAAACCGAAACGCTATCAAAGTGCTCGTACCAATCCAGACGATGGTGACATTAACTCGCAGCGCAAAGTCGTCATCATGCGTCGTCGCTATCTCGAGGGCGCGTCACCAGCATCGTCATCATCGCAGCCTTCGCATTTGCCAGCTGTTGGTTCTTCCCCCCCCCCCGCCCCCAACATTCTCACCCCAAGGTTGGTCGTACAGGTACATATGATCGTCCTCCTTCCCGCCCCCAATCCACTCCCCCCTTCTACTGCTCTTCCCCTCCTCCTGATCCTTATCATGCCGTTCCCCTCCCCCTGATCCTCATCACTCCTGGGCCGTTGTCCTTATTCCTCTCTCTCTGATCTTCCACCCCGTCTCCCTATACGTTCTCCTGCCTGTCGCACTCTCAAGTGTTACAGTAGGGTGGGCCAGGTGTTTCTCTGGACACTTCGTCACCATTTATGGCCCCAGCACTTTTCCAGCAGTCACAGGGATGGAAGGGGGATCGTACTCAAAATGACCTCAAAACTTAGCGCCGCGCACATTCGTTTCAAAATCTAGTAACACATTCTAAGGTTACGGAATGGGGGCCGTCTTCAAAATAACGTTCGTGTGAAAAGCCTGCAGTTGTCTCGAGGACGGAGATGGCTGGTTTTCAAGATGAGGCTCTCGCCGGTACGCCGCGCATGTTTCCCAAAGCCTGCACCTGTTTCACGGCTGGAGGGGTATCCTTTTTCAACTGGAACTCCCGCCCTGTCGCCGCGCACGTTCGTGTCCAAAACCAGCAACACTTACCAGGATGGACGGGGGTGCTTTCAAAACGGCGTTCTCGCCCTGGCGCCTCGCACATTCGTGATATCTGGAAGCAGCTTCAAGGATCTGGGGTGGTGTCGTTCCAGAATGGTTACCTCGACCTTGCGCAACGCGCATTCGTCTCAGACGTTCGCAACAAGTATAAGAAATAATGACGGCTCAAGTGGCTATCGCATGCGACTCCCTGGCGCTTGAAAACCGGGTGGCTGAAATTGAACACTTGTAGCAACTGCACAGGAAGTGTAGATTCGTGCAGGGGTCATTGACAAAATGTGGGGCGGTTTCTTTTCAAACAGGGTATTGCTTGAGCGGCCCCACTGACAGCTTGTGAAGTTTGCAATCAAACTCCGCGTTCTGCTCCTGAACATCCCCCCGAAACATCGAATTCACTGGTAAACGTTCAATTATAAGTTGACCGACTATTCCATACATGTAGCGATACAGACAGTACGGCGGGAGCTTAGAGCAGGGGTGTACCCCCAATCCGCACGCAGCCAACGCGCCCCTGGCCATTCCACGGCCGCGGGTGGCGGGTGCCTCGAGGGAGAAGGAAGGCAGCGAGGCCGGGGGCGTTTCCCCCCCCCCCCTGGGCGCGCAGAGCGGGTGCCTCGCGCGAGGATGTCAACGTCTACTGTAGCAGTCCCCCCCCCACCCCCCACGCCCCCCCGTGCAGTCGAGTCTGCGGCGTTCCAGGCCTTCCTGGGACACCGCGCCTCCGTGGGTCACCCTCGCGTGGGCCGGGGCGCCCCGTCAGGGTCAGCCCCCGCTGGCGAGTCGGAGGCAAGGGGCGGGGGGGGGGGGGCGTGGCCGCGTCGGCAACCCCCGCGGGCCCCGCCTCCTCGGCCGAGGCCCCTTCGACGTCGACGCAGTCGCGGCGTCTCTGACGCGCTCCCCACCGCCTCGGACAGCAGCTCCGAGGAGGACGTCGCAGCCCACTCGATTTCTTGCGGCGTTGACCTTTTTCGGTTTTCTCTTCGGGTGGCTCGAACTCTGCGCCGTCCACGGGGGGCCCCCGTCCTCCGTGAACGGCCCCTCCGCAAAAAAATAGCCTGCGCAAGAACCAGATACTTCGATCCTCGTGAGGGGTGCGTCCGCTGGGAATTTCAATGTTTCTGGAAAATCAGTCTCGGACAATTCCGTCCACGGGGCTCCGTGCACAGGGTCGTCACCGAAAAATGCCCAGGGCGGCCCTCCCGATATTTCGAGCGACTCCCGCGCCTCCGACCCACCCCCCCGCCGCCCCCGAGGACGACGCGGCCGCCGAGCACATGGCGCGGGCATCCGCAGCGGCCGCCGAGCACCCGCCGCCGCCCCACTGCCCGGGGGGGTGGGAGTGGGCGGGGAGGCGGCTGCTCAGCGGGAGGAGAACGGCGTCGCGGGCTGGCCGAGGAGAGGGTCTTGTGCATCCGAGGGTTTGGCACCCTTGGGCCCTTGGGCAGGGCAGCTAAGTGCTGACGCCTGCATCCAGACTTGGTAGGCCGCTGATTGGGGAGTCGTCGGTATGGCTGCCTATGGGAAGTCTTGCGTTCGGGGTCATGTGTGCACTGGCTGCCTGTAGGATGGCTTACGATCTGGCCCATGTCTGCACTGGCTGCCCATAGGAGGTCCTACGATCTGGCCCGTGTCTGCACCAGGGGAGAAGGGCGCCCCGTGTCTAGGGCGGCATCGATGCTATGATAACCCCCCGCCCTCCCTCCCCCCCCTCCTCTGCCTCCCACCCTCTCCCCGCCATTCCCTCCCGCCCTCTCCCCGCCAAACTGACTTCTGGCCAATTCTTTTTTGGTGAATTATGTATCGTTGTTTTGAACTGTGCTGTTTTGAATACTCGGAGATGCTGTTTTAGCGAAACAACTAACAACTGTTCTGTGGGTCCACTCAATATATTGCAAACGATGGCTCTCACGCGATTGGCAAGCCCATCTGGTGCTCGCCTTTCAAGGGAGAGCGCTCCATGCAGTGGAAAGGCACGCCTGTAGGGTCTTATGAGGAGGGGACTTGAGACGGGAGGGTGTATTGCAGCATCGTTGATTCTGGCCCTCCTCGTCTTTCCCACCCTTCTCTTTTGTCATAAATCCATCACTTCTTCGAGAGTCACGAGACTGTCTGGTGACAGTCCGCGCGGGTACCTCGAAACCCCGACATATGTCACTGCACGGCCCGTCACCGCACCGCGTCGAGACCTTGGAGTACCCCAGTGGCCCAAGACACCCTCGGAGAACGACCCCAGTCCAAAAACTGTGCGCAGCAACCCCCGCTGCCTCACCCGACAAGGTGGTCACAGCACCGTTTTGGGACTTCCGACCGCCGTCCTCATTCGGCCGCCCCCCTCCGAGAACGGCAAGACAAGGTGCTGTGAGGAGGGGGCCCAGACGGAAGGCCCGCGGGGCCTCGCACAGACCACCCCCCCTGAGGCAATCCCGGCTGGCCTCAACGGGGCCCCGCCCCAGGCGGCGGGCCATCCGGCTTCACCCCTGGACCACCAGGGACTGTGGTCTTGCGACGCCCCAGGAACCGCGCGCCGAGGAAGACCCTGTGCTTGGGCCCTCCATGATACAGTCGGGCCGCTGAAAGAAGGAACGCTGAATAAGGAACGAAGCCCCTTCTTGGCCCTGCAAGCGCCTCCATGCCCCAGGAGCGCAAGAGCAACAGCACTGGAGGAACCTAAGGAACATCGAGCCCCTTCCGAATCCAAACTCTTCTTTATTTCAGCGTCTTGGCTGTAATCCTTCAGGGCCATCCGACAACAAGCACTTTAGGGCGAGGAGGGCGCCTCAGGGGTTCTGAGACCGCCCAGGGCTGCTCGGGGGGCCCGTCGGCGCCAGCCGGTGTTGCCTGGGGCGGCTGTCCAAGCGCAGCCTGCAGCCTTGCCAGATCCAGGCCTCCAGCGTCGGCCTGGAGCATCGAGAAACGCTGATGCTTCCAGCCGCTTTCAACCTCCGGGACGGCAGGCAGAAAACAAGATAGCGGCCCTCACGAGAAAGTGCCGAGAGCCATGGGTCCCGACCAGTGAGCAAATCAGGGCGTTGGGGGCCTTGGGGGTTCTCATAGCCGCAAACACTCGACCAGCACTCCACGGAAGTACGCCGGACAATCGGTTCCAAGGGGGCGATAGCATCGACGGATGAAGAGGGGGAGGAGGAGGGGCAGTAGCAGAAAACGGGGGCAAGTGCGCTGTGCGACGATCCCCTGCGGCCCGACCACGAAATCATATCATGTACAGCCAGGCCCCCCCGGATGGAGGTCTTGGAGGTGGGGACTTGCCGTCGCTCGGACGTCCATTTCCCGTGCATTTTTCAGTTTCGCGCGTGTTTCTTTTGCTCGATGGTCCAGGATGGTCCTCGATGGTTCTCGCCGAGAAAAAAAGCGCACGTCCGAGCGATGCCAAGGGGAGGGAAGACCATGAGGCCCGCCACTGCTGACTCGGTGGCCCCCCGCTTCTCTGCGAGCTCCAGCTGCCGAGGCAAGCACAAGGGTTAAGTCGGGCCTGTCCTCCTACAGAGGGATTTCGGACGGAAAATTAAAAATAGTCAAAGAAATACCCCCGAGTGGCCAAAAAATGCTTTAAGCAATCGCCCCCATACTATTTTTCTACTGTTTGTGGATCTTCCTCCTGTAGAGGGACAGGCCCGACTCAACACAAGGGGGGGGGGGCACCGCAAGGGAGGACAAGACGCAACGCGCTGGCAGCGCCAGGACCGCGCCATGGGCAGGGCCAGGGCTGCGCCAGGGGCAGACAGAGCGCGCCCGTCCCGCGGCTGTTGGGCGCTCTGCTCGAGGAGGAGGGAGGGCGCGGTCACCTCGCGCGCGCGCTCCACGAGGCGGTGCGCGCGCGCGGTGTGCCTCCCGCCGCGCGCGTCGGCCCCGAATGCCCCGCCGCGACCCGCGGCCAGAGCCGCAGACAGGAGCAGGGGGGAGTCGGCACCACCACCACCAGGGGGCCGCCCGCCGGAAGAGCCACGGGGGCGTCCCCCTGGGGGTGTGGCCCCCCCCACCTCTCGCTCGAGACAGCCCCGCCCCCCAGCTCGGGGAGGCATCGTCGACCTCCTCGCTGGAGGTGGGCCCCTGGTGGTGCGGTGGTGCGCCGCTTCTCCTTCCCCTGACCTGGACCCCGTCCTCAGAGCCTCCCAGATGGGCTCGGAGTGAATGGGGTCGGAGGATCGCGCCGCATCGCCGATACATCGGCGATGCATCGGCGACGCACTGGCGATGCATCGTCGATGTGGGCGATGCATCGGCGACGTCGACGTGAAGCAAATCGGGCTCCGCATCGAGCCGCATCGCCGATGCATCGTCGATGCGGCACAATCCTCCGACCCCACCTGCTCCGACCCCATCTGGGAGGCCTATAGGATCTTTCTGCTGCATCCTTCGAGCCCGGTCGACCGCTTGCGGGCCCTGGACCTCCGCGCGGAGCAGCAGCGCCCGGCGTGACAAAAAGACGGCGGCGCCGTGCCTCTTCCCGGAGAGCAGGGCAGAGGATCGGAGGCACGTCCTGGGAGCCGCGCTGGGCCTCCCTGGGGCCCTCTGGGCGCACCTCCGGGAGCGGGGGCGGGGGAGGGGGGGTGGAGGCGGAGGAGGGGGAAGGGAAGGGGGGGAGGGGGAAGGGAAGGGGCAGGGAGGGGGGAAGGGGGAAGGGGAGGGGAGGGTGAGAGGGGAGGAGGGGGGGAGGGGGGAGGGGGAAGCGGCGAGGGGGGAGGGGGAGAGGAAAAGAAGGGGCGAGAAGGTGCCCCCCTGGGTCCGTTCCGCGGGGCTCGCTTCCGGGTCCGTTCGGCGCCTGGGCCCTCTCGGCCGCCACGCGCGCGGGGGCGGGAGGGGCAGCCCGCGGGCTGCGGCGGGGTCCTCCGACGCCTCGGAGGCGAGTCTGTATCTGTGCTCGACGGCCAACACCTCGGCGGGGAGCCCCGCCGCCACGGGCCGCCGCCGACGTCGTCGTCGTCCGTTCCAACGTTCGAACCTCCGTGATATCAGGCGTCGCGAGATCAACGCAACATCGCGAACGTCAGCAACGGAGCCCTAGACCTCATCTCTCTGCTTGCTCGTTCGAGCCGGGTCGATCCGTGAGGGCCCTGGGGCCAGAGACCGGGCGAAAACACCCTTTGTGACCCTCGATCTCTCGATCCTGTCTCGATGCCTCGATCCTTCGGATCACCGATCCTTCGCATCAGCGAGCCCTTCGAGCCTTTGAGCGGCGGTCCGTCGCAGGAGCACCAGCGACGCCTGCTGGCCGAGGACGGCGGCGGCTACTCGCACTGTTCCTCCGCCGCCAATGGGCTGCAATCAGCAGCGGGTCACAGTTCGACCAACATTCGGCGGTCGCGCGGGTTTCTTGAATCGGCGCTGCACCCCCCTGGCGGCGGCTGCGGCGCCGCCCTGGTGCGCCAGGAAAGGCCCAACGCCGATCCAAGAAATCCGGGTGGGCATCCGCAAGTTTGTGTTTGTGCCGTGTGCCTGCCTCGGAGTCAGCCGGGCCACGTTCCCAAAGCAAATTGGCACCTCCAGGGGCACGGTACGCTAGGCCGAGACCGTCAGTGAGGACCGAACATATTGGCGCCACGCACAAGGGGGTAGAGGGAGTGGGGAAGCCTTCTTACGAGGCTGCTTGTTTGAAGGCGCGGGCCTTATCTTCAGACAAGGCCCGCGCCTTCTAAGATTCTAGTCTGCCGACCCTGCCGGCGTGTGGAAGACGCTGCTCTGTTTGACCCGACGTCGTCATCGTAGTCGTCGCCGTCGTCGTCGTCGTCGTCGTTGTCGTCGTCGTCGTCGTCGTCGTCATCGTGGTCGTGGTCGTGGTCGTGGTCGTGGTCGTCGTCGTCGTCGTCGTCGTCGTCGTCGTCGTCGTCGTCGTCGTCGTCATCGCTGTCCTGGTCGTCGTCTTCGCCATCGTGTTTGACCCTCCTTCCCCCGGGCCCGTCGCCGTGTCCCTCCCTTCACTGGGCCCTCCTCCTCAAGCGAGCCAGCCAACCTAAAGCCGAAGCAGAATTGAGCAACGTCAAAGCTGAGTCGAAGGGGAGCCCCTTCCCTTTGATCCCATCCCTCGGTCGGGGTCCTGGATGGGGTTCCCAGGGAGGGTCCTGGGGGGGTCCAGAATCAGAATGCCGTCCTCCCGGAGGGGTCCTGGGGCCCCAAACGGCTCCAAGACAGCCCAGGGCCCAGGAGGCCTCCCGGACGGTTCAAGAGGGCCCCGAATCGCCGAGCAACCTGTCCAAGTCACCAAACATGGCCGCCTGACAGCCCAAGCGGCTTCCAAGACGCTCGAGGAAGCCTCCAAGAGCACACCAAGAGGGCCCCAACAGGCAAAATCCGAATGATTTCCTGCAAGGCATTGGAAGATTACGGCGTTCTCGCCTTTTGTGCTTCCCGGCGCCCCAAGACGGCCCAAGATGCCTCAAAGATCGGCAAAAGAGGGCCGCGAGAGGTTTCCAAGACGGCCCCAAAACAACCCAATACGGCCCCAAGACGGCCCTGGAAGCCTCCCAGACGGCCCAAGAGGCGCCCAAACTGGCTCCAAGAGGGTGCCCACACGGGAGCCCGAACGAACATTTCCCCCCAAGAGGCCCTCACCAGGCCCTAAGAGGCCCCAAGAGGCCCCCAGGAAGCCAGAAGGGACCTCCAAGAGGCTCCCAAGAGGCCCCCAAGATGCTCCCAAGAGGCCCCGAAACTGCCCCCTAGAGGCCTATGAGCGCGCTCCGAAGAGGCCCCACGAAGCATCACCGAGGACTCTGCCCTGCGTCAGCGTCGTCGTCGCCGCCGACGCCGCCGTCGTGGTCGTCGTCCCCCTTCAGGGTCGGCGGCACCGGCCGCAGGGCCTTCCCGACCTGTAGATGTAAGGCCGGCGCCTCCTGAGGAGCAGCCTCCTTCTGAGAAGCTTCCCCCCCTCCCCCGTGCCGTCCTCTCCGCGTGGCCGACGCCCCGGCCGAGACGTCCCTGCGGGGACCAAGCACAGCAGGCCTTCTGGCGCCGCGGCCACGCGCGCAGCGAGCGGGAGCGGAGGCAGGCTGTGTGAAGGGGCCCTAGGACACACAAATAAATACACACAAATAAAACGATTCCCCATATTTTCCCATAATTCCCGGGTTTTCTGTCTTCCCCCCCACTTCCCATATTTTCCCATATTTTCTGGGGAATCGACGATTAATTGTGTCTGTGTGTTTCTTTCCCTCCTGACTGTGGCGGGAGCGGCTGGCGAGGGGTGCGGCGGGCGCGGCCGGGCCCTCGGGGGGCCCGAGAAGGGGGCAGGGCGCACCCATCACAGGGAGCCTCCCTGCACGACATCGCACGGGGGGGCAGCCACGAGGAGGGGGGCCAAGGGGGGGGGGGAGCGACAGGGGAGAAGGCATGCCGTGGGGGCGGTACGGTGCCCGAGCGCGCGGGAACTCTCGGGGACTGGCAGCGCGCACGCACACGCGCACACACAGTCGGGGACCCGCACGCGCAGCTGCCTACGCTCACGCGAGCATGCACTCGCACATACATGCACGCACACATGCACGCACACATGCACGCACACGCCTGCATGCGTGCACACGCTGACCCTCCTTGGCGAGACAAGGATGACCCTCCGAAGGACGGAGAAAAACGCCGAGGGCCAGACAAGCCCGACGATGCAGGCATCTGGCGCTCGATTTTATGCGCGACATGACCGACTCTGGAAACCCGGAATCTGCTAAATTTCTCATCTCTTTGCGGGGCGAATCTTACTGCCGCTGGCTTCAGCTGTCGGAGCTGCCTTCGTTTTACTACTGCCGCCCTCCGCCAGCCTCCGCCAAGGAAGAGATGCCAACCCCTCGATCCCTCGAGGGCGATGCCCTTTCTGGAGAGCGACCCGCACGGATCCCTGTACCTGCCGACCCCAGGTCCGCGCGGACTGGCCTCTCTTCCCGAGTGGTTTCTGCTCCGCAGCTCCGCAGCTTCAAAATGGACAGGCCCTGACTTCCGTACAGCTCCAGAATGGACAGGGCCTGACCTCCCGGCTGGTTTCGCGTGGACAGGGCCTGACCTCCGTAGCTCCCAAATGGACAAACTCAGGAGGAAACTACTGGGAGGTTTTCGTCGGAAAGATGAATGAGGATTAAGTCCCAGTAGGGAGCTGTTACGCCGGAGTGGGCCTCGGACTAAGCGGGATTAAGCCGGATGAAACGGGATGAAGCGGGATTAAGCCGCATTAAGCCGGATTTCGGACGAGGGCAAAATCAGCATTTAACCTCCCAGGAGTTGCATCCGAACGGATGGTTTCGCATGGGCAGGGCCTGACCTCCGCGGAGCTCCCATATGGACAAACGACCAGCAGTCGTACCGATACCGCTACTCCCCAGACCTCTCCTGGGGTGCGCTCTGACCAGAATTCCGAGGCGAATCCAGCGGTGGCGACGATGACCTCCGAGTCCGAGGAGGCCGAAAAAGGGGAAAACGGGCGAAGGGTAGAGGTATGGGTACCTTTTCCTCCTCTGAGCCATGGCCATGAGGATAACCCGGGGTGGCCGCATCCACACGGGGATCCGTGAGAGGAGGGGAGGGCACGCTGGCCCCCCGGTGGATCCCAAACATGGAGCAGCCAGAGAGCATCGGAGCGGAGTGGCTGAGCACCGTCAGGGCCGACCTCGGACTCTAAGAATTTCGTTCCACTTCCCCTCAGATTCGGAATCCTCTCAAACTCCATGATTTTGCATTCAAATTCCTTTCCAACTCCATTTGGATTCAGTTTTCTCTCTGGCTCTAGGGATCCGCATTCAAATGCACTTCCAAATCCCCTTAGATTCAGAATCCTCTCTTGCTCTCCAGATCCGTTTGAAAGCCTGACCCCAGCCGGCCTCCTCGACGTCCACGCGGCAACGGCGACGTCTACCGGGGAGCGGCCGAGCCTGCGATGGGCGAGGACTTTTGTGCACATAGCTGCTGCCGGGGGCTCTCGAGCTGCGGGGGGGCCTCGGTCATGCGGACAGATTTCTGGCCTCCACGGGGCCCCAATATACACGTCGTTCATTTCTAATCGTGCTCATGTCTAAACTGTGCTCGTTTCAAATTGTTCCTGGCCCCCTGGTGGCCAGGAAGAGGCCCAGGAGGCAAAAGCGAGCCCGACCGAAACCGACAGGCCGAGCACAGCCTCGCTGGGCGCAGCCGCCGCGATACCCGACCGAGCTGAGCTCGCGGGGGGGAAAGGGTATGATAGCGGAGGGCAGGGCAGAGAATCAGCTCACGTGATTAGCTGGTTTTCGTGGCGCTTCCTGGCGCCGGGAGGCGTCCATGTGTCGAGGAAGGGGCCCGGCGGCGGGGCGGAAACCAGCTGCACGCAGCAGATTTCGTAGCCCCCACCTCTTCCTACACTGACCTTCCAGGGTGCTAAAAACCCTAAAGACCTATAGCCCTCTCTGGACTGCCTAGAACCTCGATTGGGATTTCGATGTCGAGGTCCCTGTGCTACTTTAGCCCTCCTGGAAGGTACGGGTATCCTACCTTTTCGTCCGACTCGGTGAGCCGAGCCGAGCAGAGCCGTCCTGCGACGTAGCGGACCGAACCCAGCCGCGGTCAGCATTGGCGCGATGCCCTCGCTCCGCGCAGCGGCCCCTGCCTCCCGGCCGCCCCTTGTGCAGACCCAGACACGCTTACGTCGTGACGTCGACAGAAAATCACGGACGGATGACATTTGCCCCCCCCCAGCTTTCAGCCTCTCCTCCTCCTCCTCCTCCTCAACCTCCTCCCCATCACCTCCTCCTCCTCCTCCACCCTCTCCTCCTCCTCCTCCTCCTCCACCTCCTCCTCCTCCTCCCCTCCTCCTCCTCCTCCCCTATGTCCTCCATCCCCCCTAATTCCCCCACTCTGCGCGTGCCTCCTCTTCCTCCTCCTCCTCCTTCTCAACCTTCTCCTCCCTCTCCTTCTCCTCCTCCGCCTCCTCCTCCTTCTCCTCCTTCTCCTCCTCCTCCTCCTTCTCCCCCTCGTCCCTCCTTCCTCCTCGGTCTCCTCCTCCCTCGCCTCCTCCGCCTCCGGGGGTCCTCGCTGGGCCCCGGGACCGTCAAAAACGATGCGGGGAGAACAACTGGCGCTGGAACTCCGCGCAAAATTCTTGGATCGGTGCTGGGACTCCCTCCCTGGCGTGCGGAGCGCGCCTGGGGTGGCTCTGCAGGCGCCACCAGGGGGTCCTCAGCGCCGATCCAAGAAATCCGGCGGAGCTCCGAGAAATTACGTTTCTGCATCATGGTAGCAAAGAAAGCAAGACAATCAACCTCATCATAGGCATCGCGACATGCGAAGCCGCTTAGTAAACGCACCAGAGGAAGAAATCGAACAGGACAGGGCTCTTCAGTAAACGCCCAGGGCCGCCTGGCAAACGCCAATTATGGGGGTCGGGGTGGTTTGTCCTCCTTTGATCTATGTTCCAGCTGAACAAACGCTCCCGGCCGCAAGGGGAGAGACACCGCAGGGGGTGGGGGTAGGAACAGGGAGAAGCGACACCACCACCTCCACCAGGGACCGCCACCGGGAGAAGCAGGGGGAGGTCGTCCCCCTGGTGGTGTGGTCCCCGTCCCTCGCTGGAGGCATCGCCCATCCCCAGCTCGGGGAGGCAGCGTGGACCTCCTCGCTGGAGGTGCCCCCCCCCTGGCGGTGGTGGTGTTTCTCCTCCGTCCCCCGAGAGGGGGGGGGGAGGGAGGGCGCACAGGCCTCCTCCTTCCTCCGAGGGGCAGGTGGGGGGAGATGGCGGCGCGCTGCGCGGGCCTCCCCCGAGGGGGGGGGTCGGGGATCCTCCTTCCCCCGCGAGGGGAGCGGGGGCGCGCGGGCCTGCTGCGTGTCGATGGCGGCGAGGGCCTGCTGCGACCTCTGCGCCAGCGAACGGGCCTGCGGCAGGGCGCGCCATCTCGAGGAGTCGACGCCGACGCCGACGCCGGCGCCGACGCCGACGCCGCCGCCGCCGGCGACGACGACGACGACGACGACGACGACAAGGACGACGACGCTAACGATAACGACGACGCCGACGACGGCGACGGCGACGGCGACGGCGACGGCGACGGCGACGGCGACGACGACGGCGACGGCGGCGGCGGCGGCGACGACGACGACGACGACGATGGACGACAACGACGACGCCGACAACTACGACGACGGCGACGACGGCAGCAGCGGCGGCGGCGACGACGAGGTTCGACGCCTTCGTGCCAGAGTTGCTCGACGCACTTCTGGGGGCTCTCGCCGCCACGGCTGGACAGAGCTCGAAACAACTGGCCAGAACGACCTCCGGGCGGGGCCCCGGAAGCCGATTCTGAACCCATGCTGGTCGCTGCCGTCGCTCGCCGACCGACTGCCAAATCGATATGTCCGTTCATCGGGCCTCGTCGCGCTGTTACCTGCACGCCCGCCTCCCGCGCCCGCTCCTGCTGCTACAACTGCTTGTAATGCTCTGACAGTTGCGCCTGACGCTGCCGTTCCTCAACCTCCTCCTCCGCCTCCTCCTCCTCCTCCTCCTCCTCGTCCTCCTCCTGCTCCTCCTCCTCCTCCTCCGCCTCCTCCTCCCTCTCCTCCTCCTCCTCCTCCTCCTCCTCCTCCTCCTCCACCCCTCCTCCTCCTCCTCCTCCTCCTCCTCCTCCACCTCCTCCACGACCTCCTCCTCCCTCTCCAACGCTTCCTCCTCCTCCTCCTCCTCCTCCTCCTCCTCCTCCTCCTCCTCCTCCTCCTCCTCCTCCTCCTCCTCCTCCTCCTCCTGAATGTCTGGATAGCGACCGTGCCCTGTCCCAGAATGGGGGGTCGGACTCACGATGACGAGCTCCGCACCTCCCCTCCGCTCAATTTCCTCAATCAACCTTCGCGCTCCGCGCCGCGGCGCTGTAGCGTGGAGCGCAGATCGCCTCCCGCGTGATCTCGCCTTCGCCCTCTTCGGGCACGCCGCGAGAGGGCCACCTCGGCCACCCGTAGACAGGGCAGGCTCAGCGCCCTCCTCCCCCTCTCCTCCTCCGCCGCCTCCTCCACCCTCCTCCCTCGTCCCTCCTCCACCTATTCCCTCCTCCTTCTCCTCATCGCCCTCCTCCTCCTCCTCCTCCTCCTCCTCCTCCTCCTCCTCCTCCTCCTCCTCCTCTTCCGCCAAACGACTGGCCCCTTCGGTCTCCGCCCTCCGCCATTCCCTCCTTACCGCTCCTCCTCATTTCCCTTCTTCTCCTCCTTCTCCTCCTCGAATTCCTCGCCCTCCCACTTTGCGCTGGCTCCTTCTCCCCTATCTCCTTCTCCTCTTCCTCCTCTTCGTCCGTCTCCCCCCTCTCCTGCTCCTCCTCCTCCTGCTCCTCCTCCTCCTCCTCCTCCTGCTCCTGC